GAGAGGTGCCTTCTGGCACCCTTCTGTAGAAACTGATGCATCTGTAGGCCTGGCTCTTATATAGACCCTCTGCCTAGCAGTGACTCACAGGGGTGCTCGACCCACCCAATCAGGAGCCACCTGAAACAAAAGCCCCAGCTCCCTCGGACCAGGGCAGCCCAGAGAGCTCCTTAGCAGCAGCCCCACCTAGCTAGGACTTCCCAGGAGAAGTGAAGTCAAGGCCCCCTGCCTTGCCCAGCTCTCCCTTCCTGCTAGCAGCAAGCACCGTCTAGTTCCTCGGGGGTCCCCACAAAGTCTCCACAACTTCCAACAAGGCCCACAAAAGGCCCAGGCAGAGCCCAGACACTGCTGCGCAAACTGCTGCGTCTGTTCGCTGCCTCTGTTGGCTGGGTCCTGGTGTGGGAAAACAGGCCCTGGCGTGGGAAATGGGTCCTGGTGTGGGAAAACGGGTCCTGGTGTGGGAAAGGGGCTCTGTCTCTGATTTCCTGCCCCGGGCCGGCCCCGCATTTGGGTTTTGGCTGCCCAGAAAGAAGAAAAGTCGGCTCTGGGTTGAACGAGAACGTGCCTTGTGGGGGGACGTGGAAAGAGCAGGCGAGGAAAAGCGGCTCAGCATCACCCAGGAAACACCCAGGAGCGCTGAGGCCAGGCCGAAACACAACGCTTCCACCTGCTTTTGAGTTACTTGAGTATTTTTTCCTTTTTCCTGCTTTGTTTCATCCTCCTAAAAGAGATGGAAATCTGCTTGGGGAACGCCCAGGCGGAGCTGTTTCCTGTGCCTGCCCTGCTGCTTGCAGCCCCACCGCTGGGTGAGACCCCCGCCGGCCCCTCCAGGGGACAGAAGGAGCCCTTGGAGCCAAAAAGCTGTCATTTGCCCATCGTTTTATTTAAAGGAACAAGTAAAGCTCCCACCAGCTGGGCTGACCCCGAGCAGCAGTGCGGCCGAGGCGGTGGGGGCAACAACCCTGCTGAAGGTTTGCTAAAGCCAAGAAGCACTACTGGCCTGCAGCCAGCGCCACTGCTCCAGCCCTCCAAAGCTTCACTGCCACATCAGCTTGTGACCCGAGTTATGGGCTTTGGAGGCAGCCTGGCAGCGCGGTGCTGTTGGCCGAGATGTGCTCGGAGCAGAGGGACGATGATCCTTGCCAGCTCGCGAATGCGCTCTTGGGACTTCTCTCCTGAAAGCGAGAGACTCGTTTCACACCGCTTGGCGGTGCCAGACCTGGCTGCAGGGCACTGAGAGCGACTCCTGGCCGTGCTGCAGTGACACCCGCTCAGCGCAGTGCCACATGCCGCGGTGCTTGCTGCGATGCTTGGCATGGTGCATGCCGTGGTGCATGCCACAGTGCTTGCTGCCATGCATGCTGCAGTGCATGTTGTGGTGCTTGCTGCAGTGCACGCCACAGTGCTTGCTGCGGTGCATGCCATGGTGTGTGCCATGGTGCATGTTGCCGTGCATGCTGTAGTGCATGCTGTGGTGCTTGCTGCTGCAGTGTGTGCCATTGTGCATGCCACAGTGCGTGCTGCAGTGCACACTGTGATGCTTGCTGTGGTGCATGCCACGGTGCTTGCTGCCATGCATGTTGTGGTGCATGCTGTTGTGCATGCTGCGGTGCGTGCCATGGTGCATGCCATGGTGCATGCCATGGTGTGTGCTGCAGTGCACTGTGTGATGCATACCACTGCGCATGCTGCACAGCATGCCATGGTGCGTGGCGCTGTGTGCGCCATGGTGCATGTCGCGGTGCATGTCACGGTGCATGCTGTGGTGCATGCCATGCTGCTGCGCACGGTGGCACGTGCTGCACTGCTGCTGGGCTGTATCTCGGCGCAG